GACAGAGAGAGAGAGAGAAAGTGAAAATCATTTCTTCCCCAGCCCCAGAGAGGATGGCCATACTGCAGTCCTGTCTCCTCTAGTTGATTGTCTGGGTTTGGGGGCACACATGCATATGTACCCAGAGTGATTTTCAAACCTCTAGTTCCAGGACTCGAACCCCACAGCCGACCATGGGGAAGTCCAGTGCCTTAATATCTATGCCACATGCTGGCTCTGTTATGTATTTTTAAACATTTATTTATGTATTCTGTGAGTGGAGTGACAGAGATACAGCACCCTGACATGGTCTTAATGCCATGATCCACTCCCAGCCTCACCATGGATCATGGGCATACATATGCCTGGCATACTCAGGGAGGTCTCTGGACACGAACTGGCAACCTTTTCATGTGGATGCACTTTCCCAGCATTGCATTTTGCTGTTGCATCACCATCCATCCCCAATCACTTAACATGTATAAAACTGCTGCTGTTTTTAGTATATTTCTTTCCCTTTTTTAAAAATGTGACACTGACCCCATTTTCTCCATAAGCGCTGAGATTCTTTATTGCAGGATTTTGTATTGCACAGTAATTTTTAGAGCTGTATATTTCACGGTAGAGCAGAATTGACTGTCTTGTAGGCTCTGCAAGTCTGGGAAGGTGGACGGGTGGATGGACACGTGCGGGGCAGGCAGTGAACGGGTGGGCAGGGAGCCCATAAACTACTCAAACCTTTCAGAACCACATAACCCATAATCACCCTGAGGGCGGCGCAACCTTTTAATTTCTAATGCCGTTGAGACGGGTGATCCATCTGGAAAAGAAAATGGAGCCAAACCCCTGAGTAACCCAATTACTCCTTTAACCGTCAAGAACACAGAAAATCCAGGGGCCAACCTAAGCTCAAAGGTTAATAATACAAGACAAATGGATTTCAGCTCCACAAACAAAACTAACAGGATTTGAAGTGCAGGAAATCTCATTTCACCATTAATGCAGAAGAAGAGACCCAGGAACATGGGGTATAATCCTGTTTTGGGCTCTGCCTCTGCCCTCATGGCGCAAGTGAGTCCCCAAAGGAACCTGCTGCCGCGGCCCCACCCTCTCCCATGACCTGGGCTTGGTCTCAGGCCTCCAGATGCTGCCCTTCCTCACAGATCTGAAATCCGAAATGTCACGCAGATGCCAAGAAGGGGAGAGGAGGGCAGCAGGCCTAGGCCATGGCATCTCAATCCTCTTTATTCCTTAATTAATTCAAATTTCTTTCTTTCCTGAGAGGGAAACAAAGACATACCCTCAACAGGGTCCCATGCCTTGATCTGCACCCCCAGCCTTCCCAGCCAGCCGATTGGGGTACAGGTACCCAGCTTGTGCAGGTCACCCCGGGACCCAAACCCATGATCCCCTGCAAGGATCCAGAACTGCTGCGTAGCTCATGACTGTGCAGGACCATGGTCCTCATTGCTTTATTCTTGCAGCAGGTACTCCGTGTTAAGTACCTTGCCTGTGTTATCATTCACTGTCCTCAACAAATTAGCAAGGCAGTTAGTCCTTACTCCATTATGCGGGAGGAAACCACTGCTCAGAGAGGTTAAAACACTTGCTGTTGATTGCACAGTGCTGGAATTCTGGGTCTCTATTATGCCAAAGTCTGGTCTGAACTTCTTCATTCTTTAAAAAAAGAAAAATTAAGGTTTTTTATGATAGGACGTGTGTGCTCGCTGGAGAGAGACAATGACAGGGAAAGTGAAAAATCACACACACACACCAACCCCAGAGGGAATGGCCATTCCTCAATCCCTTCTTCTCTTGGGATTTTGGGCATGCACACACATGTATACGATGTGAGTTTCAAGCTGCTGAGTCCAATGCGTGAACCACAGTTGGCCATGTGGGAATCCAGCGCCTCAATCATTATGCCACCTGCTGGCCCCTAACTTTATTTTTCTAGTTCAAGACAAGCCGGAGAGTTTGGCAATGTACACTTGTGTTGCGATTGCATATGAGGACTGGTCTGTGTAGTAGCCTGTATGTGGCACTTAATTCAGCAAGCTTGTTGGTATCCTTTTGCTAATGGTTCCTATAACACTGATTTTTGAAACATGTAAAGCTGGTGTACACAGGCACCATCTAACTGAATGCTGTTATCTGCAAGGTGCAATCTTAGGTAAGAACATTGATTGACACACAGAGACAATAGCAGCTGCGAGAAGTCACACAGCAGGCAGTTGGCCAGCATGGAGTAGAACCACGTCTCACTTTGTATCCTCTGCTGTCTTTCCTGCTCCAGGAAGACTCCAAGGTGGAGTGGGGTCTGTGAGGCAGTTGGACTTCTGGTCAGAAGGGACCACCATATTCCTCCTTTCCCGGTGGTATGGAGCGTGTGATAACCACTCAGGGTTTCCGGGGCGGCAGCCTGGTTCCTTGGCAGCCGCAGAGGCACCCTGGGATGGGAAATCAGGCAGCCGCCCAGATATTATAAACAATTACCGCTAATTACCAGGCCTGCCAGCTCCCCATTGTCTCCTCACAGCCCCACCAGGAACTGAGGAGCAGACAATGGCGATGTTGGAGGAAGCTTTCAATTTCAGGCTGTGAAGGCCTTGCGCTGCCTGGGAGGCTGGGCACCTTGCATGCCCAGGAGCTCACGCGGCTTTTGGAACCCTGGCTCTCCTTATAAAACAGAACTTGGACCCTGCAGGCAGCCAGTAGGGTGGTGTGGAGCCAGGCCATGGGCCAGCTGTGAGAAAGGCTGGTCTGCGCCTCCGTGCGCTGATTAGGGTCTTTGGGTGTGCAGGAATGGCGCATGCACATTTCAACCCCCAGACATTAAAGCGACTGTGTTTTCCGTAGCTTCTCTATAAAGAAAGCACTGTTGCATCCTTGTTCAGAAACCCAGCACAGGTGTTTCTGGGCAATGGCTGGCCAGGCCCCTTTTGTCTTATGGCCTGACTGTCTTTTAGGATCACGGGACTCTCCACTGTGGAATGTGGAAGATTTTCTGTTTTTCAACATTTCCTAAAGGACGCATAGCACAGAATTTACACCTTCCCATTCTGAGTATACCGCTCAGTGGCCTTAGGTCCTTTACCATCTTCGGGGGCATCTCCTGGACTCTCCTTGCTAAGCCACCACTCTGTACCCTTTAACACTAAACCCCCATTCCTCCCTCTCCCCCACCTTGGCAGCCACCTTCCACTCTCTGTCTCTGAGCCTGACTACCCTAGATACCACATGTAAGTGGGATATACACGACTTGCCCTTTTGGACTGACTTGTGTTACTTAGCATCTGTCCATGAGGGTCATTCATGCTGTAGTATGAGCCAGGATGCCCTTCCTCGTTTTGTTTTTGTTTGTGTTTGTGTTTTTTAACTTTTGCTATGGGTGCATGCACTTGCTGGAGAGACAGAGAGGGAAAGGGACAGTGAGAAAGCACCCCTTGGGGAAGGCCATGCTGCAATCCCTTCTCCCTTAAGATTTTGAGTGCACACACACATGTGCCCAGCATGTTCTTCGAGCCTTTGGTTCTGGAACTTGAACTGCACGGGCAGCCACCTTAGTCACCATGCTACCCACCAGCCCTATCTTTTTCTTTTTTTCAAGGCTGAATAATGTTCCATTGTGTACACACACACACACTTTGAATATACATACTTTGTTTATCTGTTCATCCATCAGTGGACACTTGGGCTGCTTCCACCTCTTGGCTGTTGTGGATAATACTGCTGTGAACAAGCGTGTGCAATTATCTATTAAAAACCCTGCTTATGAGGCCAGCAGGTGGCATGGTGATTAAAGACACTGGACTCCCACACGGCTGACCATGGTTCGAGTCTCAGACCTGGCAGCTCATTTTCCTCACTTTCTCTCTCTCTGTCTCTCTCTCTCTCTGGTCAAATTAAAACAAATAATAATAATAAAGAAAGAAAAAAAAATACCCTGCTTCCAATACCTTTGGGTAGACACCCTGATGTGGACTTGCTGAATTATAATTCTATTTTGAATATTTTGAAAAACACTATACATTATACATCTCATTTAATGCTCACAGCAGACCTAGGACATAGGGACATTATTATTCCCATTTCAGAGACAGAAAAAGGGACACTTGGAGAGGTGAAGGGAGGGCAGAAAGAAACTACCTTAAACTGACTAGAGAAAATAATGATGATTCTTGTTATTGGCTTGTATAGCCAAAAGAAGATAAAGGGACTTGCTTCAGGCAGGGCTTGATCCAGGAGCTCACACATGTCCATCAGTTTGATGGCCTCATTATCAGGCTCCAGATGGCAGTGAGAGAGCTGCCAAAAACTTCAGTCTCCTGCTCTAGCCTGGCGGGAAATGAGAGCTGCTCATTCCCCACAGTTCAAACCAAGCTTCCAGGCCAGAATCTTGGCTGAATTAGGCCGCGTGCCTGTCTGTCCTGCCACCACTAACCCAGGGCAGGAAGGCCCTGGCCAGAGGCTGCAGGCCAGTCTCTGGGAGGAAGATCTCCAAAGGAGTTCGAGGTCTTATGACCAAGGCAAGGGGAAGTGGAAACTGGGCAGCGCGCGGGCCTCACGGTCACGTGTCTGCGTCCTGAGGCTGTTCCACCCACCGTGCTTTTCTGTGCAGTGGATCAGCAGTGGCTCCTGTTCAAATGCAGATTCTGGTTCTGCTCTCCGGCGCGGCTGGTGGGGGCCAGTCCTGTGTTTCTCATTAGCTTCTGTGTGCCACGGCCATGGCTGGAACTATGGCTGCGGTGGTCTCTGGGCTGCTCTTGGAGTGTCAGGCACTAAACCGCTGACCCCAAGCTCTTGATCACCTTTTCCTCCTGTGATCCTTAGGGCCATCCCAAGGGGTAAGTGTCAGCACATTCGTTTCCTGGAGGTGGAAAGGCTTATCCCAGAGAGAGAGGACGATGGACATCGACAGAGACACTGTGGGAGAGGGGCGTTCTGGAGCGACCCCCATCTTTGGAGTGCTCAGTCGGCCCCTGGGAACATTTGTTTTGTCTCCTCTTTTCTTCTTGCAGCCTTAACTATGGGGGCGTTTGCCTGGCATCGGACGCGCAGTTCAGTGACTTCCTGGGCAGCATGGGACCAGCACAGTTTGTGGGCCGCCAGACCCTGGCCACCACACCCATGGGTGAGTGCCCCAGGCCATGCCAAACAGAGGCGGGTCGGGCCACCAGAAGGCCTGCGTCTCTCCCTCCTGGCCCTTTGCCTATCCGCTCCATCCTCGGAGCACCCCACCTGGAGCCTGATCAGCACTGTCCACCCAGCAGATCCGGGGCCCTCGATGTAGGAGTTGGTTCCGATCATGTTTGAGACTGAGGGTAGGGGCAAGGGGCTTCATCCCTCAGCAGAGGAGGAGCCAAGTCCTTGCTTGAGCCATTGCAGCCCCATCTCTTGGGGCCTGTTACAGGGGACGTGGAGATCGGCTTGCAGGAGCGGAACGGCCAGCTAGAAGTGGACATCATCCAGGCTCGTGGCTTGACAGCCAAGCCAGGCTCCAAGACACTGCCAGGTATGGGGGCTGCCTTCCCTCCGCTAGGCTGGGGTGGGCATCGGCGAGGATATCCTGAGGGGCATCTGGGGCCTAGAAGAAAACTGGGCCAGACATGGGGACCCCTGTGTCCTGACTAGCGGAACGGGTGGTCTAGAGCTCCCTGGGCCCACTGGAGGTTATATGTTGACCTCATCAGTCCCCCCAGTGGGCTGAGTTATGGAAGGCAGGGGCCGTCTTCTCCATCTGTCGTGATGCCCAGTGCCTAGTAGGGCACCTGGCACACAGTGGGTGCTTGGCAAACATATGCTGGGAGAGCAGGTCAGCAGGTGAGCATGTAAGTCAGGGAAGGGGCAGGTGAGCCATGACAGAGAGGAAGCAGCTGAGTACAGAGTGCACAGAAGGCAGGAGGCAGCCAGGACCATGGGGGCAGAAGGAGGTCCCACCAAGCCCGGCTGCTCCTGCCACCCTTTGCCCCTGCTGCCTCCTACCCAGCCCTATAGGCACTCCAATCCCCAGCAGTGGGTGGGCAGCCCCCCTCAATTGCACCCGCTGCCTGTCTTTTGAGGGGTGAGACTAGAACTCGGCTTCCTGGCCTCTGTCCACAGCGGCCTACATCAAGGCCTACCTGCTAGAGAACGGCGTCTGCATTGCCAAGAAGAAGACCAAAGTTGCTCGAAAGTCACTGGACCCGCTGTACAACCAGGTGCTGCTGTTTCCTGAGAGCCCCCAGGGCAAAGTCCTGCAGGTGAGGGGCTCTTGGGTGCACATGTGTGTGTGCAGTCATGCATGAGCACAGATGTGTGCTGCGGTGAAAGGGTGGCGCCCTGGGAGAGGATGTCTCTAGAGAGCCTCACCTGGAGGAAATGGAGCATGCTAGTTAGTCTGAACTCCACACCGTACTGTGCACCTTGGATCACATTCCTTTCTGATCCTGAGCTGCTTTACCTGTGAAATGGGGATACTAAGGGTGCCTGCCTGACAACGTTACTGAGTCAGTGGAACATGTGCTGGGCGCAGGAAAAGCATTTGCACCTTTGGCCTGCTCTACAGATGGCTGCCATGATAATTATGATTACTGTCATCAGCCTCTGGAGGCCAGGGCCCTGGGCTGCAGAACAGTAGAAATAGATCGGGCCCTGAGGACAGAGAAGTGCTTGGCTCCACCATAAGGAGGCCCCTAGTGGTCACTAGCTCAAGCCTGGAGCTGGAGCATCCTCCCACGTGGGGACGGATGCCCCCCGGAGTCCTGTCGCTCTTCCCAAGCTGCCACATGGAGCCTCTGACTTGCACCTCAAGCCTTGCATCTTGACTGACCGAGCAAAGCAACCGAAGGCAGGGCCAGGTGTTGCAGGGTCAGACATGGCAGAGCAGTAGAATACAGTGCTCTGTGAGGCTGACCCCGGTGGGGAGCTTCTGGGTTCATGTCCAGAGACCTCCTTGAGTACACTAGGCATATGGGTGCCCATGACCAGGGCTGGCTGAGCTGGGAATGGGTTATGGCATCAAGTCTGTAGGGGTGCTGTTTCTCTGTTTTCTTCCTCTCTCTCTTTCTCTCTCTGTCTTTCTCACTCATGGAAGAAATAAATACACTTAAAAAAAAAAGTTGCCAGGGCCAGCAGGTGGCATGGTGGTTAAAGACACTGGGCCTCCCACATGCTGACCACAGTTTAAGTCGCAGACCTGGTAGCTTACTTTCTCACTTTCTCTCTCTTTCTCTCTCTCTGGCACACATGCCTTGTGGCAAATTAAAAAATAATAATAGTGATAAAGTTAAATAAATAATTCTTTTTATTTTTTAAAAAGTTACCAAGGGGGCCAGCAGGTGGCGTGGTGGTTAAAGGCACTGGACTCTCACATGGCTGACCACAGTTCAAGTCCTGGACCTGGTGGCTTGCTTTCTCACTTTCCCTGTCTGATCAAACTGGAAAATAATGATTCTAACAATGAATAAAGTCAAACAGAATTTTTTTTAAAAAAAAGGTGCCAAGACAGTGGAACTTTTGCCAGACTAGGAAACTCATATGCTCTCTAGGGATTATTTCATTTACAAACCAGGACATAGGCTCAATGAGGTTAAGTGACTGGCCCAGAACCACACAGCCAGCAAGTTGCAGAGCTGGGATTGGAACCTGTGTGTCAGACTTTAAAGGCTGTACTTTAAGGCACCAGGCTTTTCTCAGTGGTTGAGTCAACCCACCTTCGTAGAGGGGGACAGTTAGAAGCTGAGGTACAGGGACCAGCAGTTAGCGTAATGGCTATGTCGCTGGATTCCCACGTAGTCGACTGCGGTTCGAGTCCTGGACCCAGAGACTTAAACTCACGCCGGGCATGTGTGTGTGCATACCCAACATCCCGAGAGGAGAAAGGAGGAGAAGGGATTGCGGTGTGACCATCCCCCTTGGGGAGTGATTTCTCACTTTCTGTCTCTCTGTCTCTGTCTTTCTGGTGAGTGCATGTGCCCTATAGCAAAAACCTCTCAAAAAAAAAGCTGAGGTGCAAAACAGCAAGTGAGGGACCTGCCACCCAGAGACCATCCAATTGACAGATCCAGGAGAGTGTTGACCAAGAAACGAGGAAGGCGCTGCAGGAAAAAGTCAGTTGGAAGAAGGAAGGAAGCTCGTGCATACACCACACCAGCCACGTTTTTTTTTTTTTTTTCAAGAGGGAGGGTTTTGTTATAAGGCGTGTGTACTCAACAGAGAGACAGAGAGACAGAAAGTGAGAAATCATCCTGGTGGGATGGCCATGTTGCAATCCCTTCTCCATTCTCCTCTCAGGATTTTGGGCACATACGCACATGTGCCTGGCATGAGTTTCAAGCCACCAGGTCCAGGACTTGAACCACAGTCGACCATGTGGGAGTCCAACACTTTAACCACTATGCCACCTGCTGGTCTCCACCAGCCACTTTACAAATTTTATTTTATTTAACTTTATTTATTTATTTTAATTTGACCAGAGAGGGACAGAGTGAGAGAGAGAGATAAAGTGAGAAAGCAGGCTGCCAGGTCCAGGACTTGAACCATGGTTGACCATGTCTAGCACCCTTAACCACCACACTACTTGCCAGGCCCCTACCAGCCGCTTTTAAAAGCTTTGTTGCCCCTGGTGGAGTTTGAGGATCTGGAAGCAGAGGGCCCATGAGGGAAGCAGGCAGGGAGCTCTTCATGTAGGCTCGGCTCTCAAGCCAGGGTTCCAGGTAAGGAATGTGGAGGATGGGAGGGCCGGGCAAGACAGGAGGCAGGAAGGGTCCTGGGAGTGAGCAGTCACAGGGCTCTGAAGCAGGAGGCGATGGTCGGATTTGAGGTAGAACCCACAGGACTTGGTGAAAGGGGCTGGGGCGGGCCCCAGGCTCTGGTTCTGGTTCTGGGCCTGTCAGTGGCACTGCAGGTTGTAGCTCTGTCTCTTACCCCGCAGGTGATCGTGTGGGGAAACTACGGGCGGATGGAGCGGAAGCAGTTCATGGGCGTGGCCCGCGTGCTGCTAGAGGAGCTGGACTTGACCACCCTGGCCGTGGGCTGGTACAAGCTCTTTCCCACCTCGTCCATGGTGGATCCGGCCACGGGTCCCCTGCTCCGGCAGGCATCCCAGTTGTCCCTCGAGAGCACCGTGGGGCCCTGCGGCGAGCGATCTTAGTGCTGGGGATGGGAGGGGCTCCTGGAGACCACCCAGCCCTGACCTGGGACCCCAGGCCCAGGGGCACATTGAACAGAGGAGGAAGCAGATGGGGAGACCTGCCCCCCTTGGGCCCTCCTCACCCCTTCTTTGCCTCCTACCCTGAGACCTTCCCTCTCCCAATGGGATTGGCTGCACTTTTGACTTGGCCGGTTCTTGACCTGGTGGGTGTAAGCTGCAGCTGGAGAAAGGCGAGACTGGGGCGGCAGAGCAGACCACTCCCCTGCCCCAAATGCTGTCCAGCCTGTCCCCCCCCCTTTGCCTCCTCGGAAGCTCGCTGCCCGGAGCCAAGTCCAGAACCCAGCCGGCCATCTCCATGGTGCCAATTACCAGCAAGTGTCTTTCCTGCGGCACCGGGTTCAGGCAGCTACTCCTGCCCTAGAGCCGACGGGGCAGCTTTGCAAGGATCCGGAGCCAGCTCCCGGGGGCCCAAAGCCCCCACTTGAAGAGGAGCTTGGGCCTCCCTCTGCCTGCCCGTGGAAGGAGCTTTGCCGCAGCCTGTCCGAGTCCATCTGTCCATCCCCTCCTGCCTGCCCCTCTTCTGGTGGCTCTAGGAATTGAGGTTGAGCAGGGACCAGAGGGAAGGAGGAGGTATAACCCCTAGGGCCTTGCTCCAGGGAATAGCACCAGTTAGTTCGGGAACTGCTGTTGGACTGGAAGACTTGTCATCTGTGTTTTGGTGGAGCATCTGTGTGACACTGAGTTTCCAGCACCCCAAGCCCAGAGAGCTCACCATCTCCACATTTGGGGGGTGCTGGATTTGGAATGGGGGGAGGCTGAGGAAGACTGGGACTGGTTGTGCCAAGGTAAGGGTTTCCCAAATGGGAGAAGCCCTCCTTATTGGATGAGGTCAAAGGTCATCTTATCTACCCCTCTGCCTCCAGGGTAGGGGCCTGGGGAGGCAATAGAGCCCCCCTATTTTAGTCTTTTTAAACAAACCATCCTATTCTGGGGCAGAGCCCACTGCCCCGGCCTCAACTACCTTGGCTCAAGGGAAGTTGGTGGTTGGAGAGTGAGCGGTGAGAATATGAGAACTGGGAGACTCCTTCTCAAGCAGGCCTGGGTAGCCTTCCCAGCCGGCCCTCCCTGGGGCCTGCAGGAGCCCTTTTGCATGCAGGGAGGACGCAGGCTGGCCCCTCTTTCTAGAAGCACATTTCTGCCACCTCCCCTGGGAGGTACCCAGCAGCCTGCCATTCCTCTTTACCTAGTCCCTGCTGTGTAGGGTGTAGTCCAGGTTAGCTGGGTAGTTAATGTCCTGAGCCCCGGGGCCTGTTCTTAGCTCAGACCTAGTCCTTGCAGAGCCCCGGGACAGGGTGGGGAGGAGGAGACACGAGTACATTCCAGGAGACTACCGTCTTCTCACTGGCTGGGCCTGGATCAGGCAGCCTGGTTCATGGGAGGCCAGCCCCTCCTCGTCTGCCCCACCTCCCCGTCTCCCCTGTAGGATTGTAGCTGGAGCTGCCATTATACTCACGTGATCTCATTTATTTCCCTTGGGCCTGCCTTTCTTTCTGAGGACTCCTGGGAAGTGCTGGGCCTTGGCGGAGGGGCCCCATCTCCATTAGACATGAGGATGCCGGGCTGTGTTTGGTTCCTTCCTGTCCCTGGTCCCCCCAGGTGGGTCCTTCTACCTGGACATTCTCCTCTCCTCTGGCCTGTTAAGCCCTAGGCATCCTTTAAAGTTCTGGTCCAGTTAACATCACGTCCATGGAGCTTCTTGCCCTGCCCTGGGAAGGGGAGATGGCAGCCCCTTTCATCCAGGTGGTCAAGGCTGGGGCAGGAGGAGGCAGGGCTCCCAAAGGACCCCTGCATTGAAGGCCCAGAATCAGCGCTGCCCCATCCGTGTTTCAGTGTGGTTTCTCTGCGGTCTGTTTATTACTTGCCATTTGGAATATTCTGAGCCAGGAGAGCACCTGTCTCCAACCGGCATTGCTGTGTTGTTAGGGGCTAGCTTTTCAAAGGGGGCAGAGCCTGGCTGTCCCCGCCAGAAGGAGAGGGGCAGGAGCTCCCTCTCCCCCAGCCTGAGCCCTCCCTCCGTGTCTGCACAGCCTTTATGGAGAGGCAGAGGGTGCTCCGAAGCAATAACACCACCCTGGGGGTGGCCAGGGAGGGCCCCCTCAGTGACTTTCTTGTTCGTTCTGTGGTATCTCACTCACCTCCTGGAGGGGTGGGGTGAGGAGGGGCTGGAGCCCTGTTTCTTTGTGTCATCGTGCGAGCGTGTGCCCCTTTCCAAGGGGCTGTGACCATTGGGTGTGGCAACCACCGTCTGTCCTCACCATGGGATTGGGGTTGGGGAGGGGGACTGACTTCATTAGCTTTGGGGAACCGGCCTGGTCCTGCTGCTGTTGCACTCCACCATTTGGAGAGGAGCAGAGAGGGTGGGGTTGAGGGACTTTGGGGGGCTGGCATCTCTAGGTGTTGATTCTTCTTTCAGTCTCTGGGTCCAGGTCATGTGTAGGGGTGCCATGGAGGGGCCATCTCCCCTTTCCTTCTCCTGAATCCCCTTTTCGTACTGAAGGAAAGGGGCCTTTGGGACCATTTGTCCATTTCCATTTTACGGACAAGGAGACTGAGGCCCACTACAGGGGAAGAGCCACCCCTGGGGTCACCTATGCAGCCAGAGGCACCCCTAGTCTGGGTCTCCTAGAGCCAGGGCAGGACAGAGTGGGGCCCCTGCTTGCCACTCTTCTTTCTTTCTTTGGAGTCTCCTAGTGGTCCTGAAAAGGTGGGCAGGACAAGCTGTAGCCCATCAGAGAGGCTAGGAAACTAAGGCCCAGACACCGGAAGTAGCTCACCCAGGAGCCCTCTGCAAGTGAGCGATGGGGGCAGAACCAGGGGCTCCACTGTGCCTCCTTCAGGCAGCAGGAGACCATTGCTCCCAGCAATGCCAGGACCTCACCGCCTGCAGGTCCAGCTCCCTGGCTCAGTGTCTTCTGGCCTGCTTTGAGGGAGAGGGTTGCCAGGGAGACAGCCCAGGCCAGCTGAAGAAGGGTGTGCAGGACCAGCTGGAGGGAGAGTTAAAGGCAATTCCTGCCTGGGACTGTGTGGGAGCTGACTGTGGGGACCTATGCGTAGGGAAACCCTCACAGAACCTTCAACTGCATGGAGACCTGGCCTTCCCGTTGTGCATTTCAGACCTGTTTTCAGTGCTTGCCCTCGAGTGCACCCTTTGACCTTACAGGAGCTCCTGAGAAGTGGGGGGGGGAAGGGGGAGGAGTGATTTCCAGCTCCATTTTAAAGAGAGGGAAACTGAGGTCCTGGGAGAGGAAAGATGTTTGCCTGAGGCCCCACTGTGAGCTGGTGGCCGAGCTAGGACTAGAACTCAATTCTCCAGCAGTTCAGAGCTTTCGTCTGCACCAGGGGGTAAAGCAGATGGTTTGGGGGAGAGGGTGATGCACTTTACATGCTGATTCACCATTTGGGTCCTTCGACCCTGAGCTCCAGGGCACATTGCAGTGTTGAGAAACTCCCTTCGAGGCACGGCTGTTGCATCAGGCAAGGTCACCTGCCTTTATTTATTGAGCGGCAGTGCTGTGCCAGGCCAGGGGACCCAGCCCCTCCTGTCCCCTGTAGCCATTCCCTCGAGGCCTGTGTCTGTAGAGCAGCAGCGCAGAGTGGCAGCAGCGCGCGTGTCCCAGCTCACCTGACTCAAGCCCCAGGTGAGGGCAAAGGAGACCTGCACTGGGGCCGAAGAGTCACCTCTGGGGCCCTTTCACTCTGCGACAGCCTCCTGAGAGGGGACAGGGAACCCGGCTCCTCAGGCTGGGGGCCTCTCCATCTACCCACCTTCTTCCCTCATTCCCTCTCCAGAGCAGGAGCCACCCAGGCCTTGGGGAGGGAGGGTGTCGGGGCCCCTGGCTTGGAGCGGGCCCCGCTGCATTGTGTTCATGACCATGTAGCTCATGTCAAATATTAAAGTTTTTGGCTTTTCTAATCTGGCTCGCTCTCACTTTGTGTCAACCGTTCTATCTGGGAAACTAAAATAAACGTATTTTAAGGGGCCGAGTGCTACAGGCTGCCCGAATGCCACTGTGGGGCTCTGTTAATGCTCCCTTTTGGGGCAGGGGGCCCCTTTCTGGGAAGCCCTGGCAGAGATGCACGGGAGGGAGCAGGGCCCTGAGTGAATCCAGTCATTTTACACGTGTGGAAACTGGGGCTCAGGGAGGGGGTGAGACTACCCCAGGTCACATACTGGTGATTGGTGGGACCCAGAAGGGAGCTCCTACAGCACAGGGCTTCATGCAGGTGGCCCCAGTGATGGGGTGTCAGAAAGCCCCCCCTTTGTCCTGAAGTGGAGCTGGCTTGGGCCTGGGGCACACTCACACATGGGCCAGTTCCTCTCCATATACCTGGCTGACCAGAATGAGAAACCATTTCAGTCTTTACTGCAGACTGGCCGGTTTGTCCTCCCACCCGCCTCCGCCCCCAGACCTTCAGTGGTTCCCACTGGCCCATCTCTATGCCCCTGCACTTCTCAAACTGGTCTCTGAGCGGATCTCAATGTCGAGACTTGTGCACTTCCCCTACTGCACACACACACACTCACACACACACACACACAAAAACCCTGCCGTCCTGTCACAGCAGGAGTAGCCACCTGTTTCCGCTCTGGAGGGCCAGCTAGAGACGCAGACCCTGTGAGAAGCTGCTGGCCACGCCCTCCTGCTATGATTGGAACTGCAAGGGCTTTGCACCTGCAGGGTGACTGCAGCTTCTCGCTGGTGCTAATGATGCTACTTTAACCCATGTTTGGAGAGGTGGGGGAGGGCCCTAGCCACAGAGGTAATGCTCCTGGCAGAAAACTGCAGTAAGGCCCCTCACCCCTCTCTGAGCCCCGAGCTCCGAGGCCCTGGGAGGGTGCACTGCGAGTTGAAGCCAGCCCCTCCCCTTCCAGGCTCTATCCACCCCGGTCGAGCTGTCAGATGGACTTCCGCCGGACCCGGGGCCTGCCTGCCCCCCCCCCCCCCCGCGGCTGTGCACGGCCTCAGGGCTGGAGGGGGGCGAGAAGCCCAGATTGTCGCGAGCCCACTTCTCCAGCTGGTGGATGCGGTAGGAGATGGAGGTGGAGCCCCAGGGAACGGCCGGACCGTGGGCCCTGGCGGGGGCGCGGCTCTCGGGCGCCCCCAGGCGGAGCGGGCTGGCGCGGCGAGCTGCGCGCTCCGGCGCGTCGGTGCCGGCGGCTAGGTTGAGGAAGGCGCCGATGACCGTGAGGCCGAGCAGGATGTAGAGGAAACTGAAGACCACATAGGGCGGCTTCCTCTGCAGCGCCTCGTCGCTCTGCAGTGCCACGAAGTCCCCAAAGCCGATGGTGGTGAGGGTGATGAAGCAGTAGTAGTAAGCGTGGAAGAAGGTCCAGCCCTCGAAATGCGCGAAGGCGGCGGCCCCGAGGGCCAGGGTGGCGGCGCACACCAGCAGCCCAGCCACCACCATGTTCTCGGTGGACACGCGCGGCCGCCGCAGGCCCAGGCAGCGCTTGGCGGCCAGCAGGAGGCGCCGCACCAGAGCGTTCAGTCGCTCACCCAGGCTCTGGAAGGTGACCAGCGTCAGGGGAATGCCCAAGAGCGCATAGAACATGCAGAAGACCTTGCCCGAGTCCGTGCCCGGCGCGGCGTGGCCGTATCCTGTGCAGGGAGAGCGGAGGGGAGGGTCGGTGAGAGCTCTGCCCATCCAACAGCTGCCTCCCGCGCAGCCTGCCTGCCACGCGTTCCTCCCCAATTCCCATAGCCCCGCAGACCATCTTCGAATAAATACTGGCTCTAACTAGGTCATTCTCCGGCTTTGAAACCTTGCACGGTGATTTGTAATCAACCCAAATTGCAGACAACACAAATGTCCCTCGACTGGGGAGTGGATAAACAATCTGGCACACCTCTGAAGAGTAGAGCTCTTCTCAGCAACAGAAAGGAATGAATTACTATTACCTGCAGCAAAAAAAGGATGCAGTTCAGGTGTAGAATGCTGAGTGGAAGGAGCAAGCTCAAACCACCCGTGCAGCGTGGCTCCATGTAAATGGCAACACTATGGGGACAGAGGACAGGTCTGTGGTCCCCAGCCCTGGGGTTGGAGGAGGGGTTAATTACAAACGGCGTGGCAATTTAGGGATGGGGTGACAGAAACCTTCCAGGTCTTAATCATGGCTGCAGTTACGTAATAGGTACTCACTGCTCAGAAGTGCACAGTGAAAAATGGCTTTACTGTATGTTAATTACATCTCGATGAAAGAGGAAAACACAACAACAACAGTAACCGTCCATGGCTTCCCAGAACCCTGGTCTGAAGTTCCAGTCCTCACATGATGTCATCTGTATCTCCCCATCTCTCCAGCCTCACCCCTTCCTTCGACCACCCACTCTCCAGTTATACCCAATGCGGTTCTGTAACCAGCCTCTCCCACCTCACTCACTCCTTTTCTCATGTTCTTTTCCTCCCCAGGACTGCCTTTTCCTCCCTCCTCCCAGTCCCCCCTCCCTTCCTAGATCCCCTTCTCCATCCTCCTCTGCACCTTCCAGCCAGCCCTTACTAAACACCTCTTGGTTCTGGTTCAGTCTGGTGCCATAGTTCTCCACTGGGTGCTCTCAGCCATTGTAGGGGATCTGACCGTGACCAGACTTCCCTGCGTCCTCAGACATTGTGCCATGCTGAGGAACAAGTGCATGTGTGTCTTTTCCTGGAGAGAGGGACAGTAGCTTTTCAAAGGGGCCCAGGACCCAGGAAAGGTCAGGTAGATCTTCCCAACACAATATGCTCCCTCTAGCAAATTGGTCCCATCCACCAAAATGTAAAATACACAACTTCCCTGGGACCTGTGCAGTTCCATGGTTAGGGAGTCGGCCTTCCAATATACATACATGCAGGATGGCGTGTGCACACGGGTTTCCATTGCAGCTCTGGCGGTCAGTGCAAAAATGAGAAGCAACCCGAGATGCTAACATAGCTCTTTAGGGGGCAATATAAAAGCATCATGAAAATATACGTGAAGAAAGCAAGAGGCAAATCAGTGTGAATAATATAACGTCTCTAATGGCGTGTGTGTCTCAAAGAGTATGTGGGCAGAGACTATCTGGAAGGATACACAGGAAAGTGGTAACTCTTTGGACTGGGGAGAGAAATGTATGAGTTGAAAGACGGTGACAGGGAGACGTCCTTCCGCGCTCTGCCGTTTGGTACCCTGGGAAGTATGCATGTGTGCGCACGGCACTGATGCAGAATATCCACTCTGTACAGCCACCCGAGGACCTGCGGCCCTCCTCCCACATTTCTACCGCACTGCCCCATCGTCAGCCTCGCTGTGTTATCAGGGCTGGGTAGAGGAAGGCTCCACCATCACTGGACTTTGAGGAGCTCCTTGAAGGCAGGGACCATGGCAGTCACTCCTCTCTGTCCCAGTCCCCATGCCCTGCGCAGTCTGACAGACTATGGGCTCCATGAGCTTTTACTGAGTCAACCTAAGCCTAAGGTAGTGCTAGTATGAGACAGGGGAGCCTCGATTTTTTTTAGAAGTTTTTGCCATAGGGCATGTGTGCTTGCTGGCGAGAGAGGGAGACAGAGAGAGGGAAAATGAGAAGTCACCCCCACCCAGGGGGAATGGCCATGCCACAGTGTCTTCTCCTCCACTCTCCTCCTGGGATCTTGGACTTGAACACACACCTGGCATGACTTTCAAACCGCTGGGTATGGGACTCCACACACTGTGGTCGGCCGAGTGGGAATCCAGCAACATAACGACCAGAACTACTATGCCGTCTGCTGGCCCCCAGGAGAGCCTCTTCAGGAATAAGTGGCCGGGGAGTGTGTTTCCAGCTGTTTGGGGCTCTGCCAGGGTTGGCTGCATTACTCCTGCCACATGAATAAGGATGGATGAGTGACCACAGCAGATGACACTAGTACCCCCATTTCGCAGATGAGGAAACTACAAGGCTTGGAGGGAAGAAGCTGGCCAAAGGCCACAGACCCTGAGCTATAAACAGGTCCCCATTGCTGCTCCGCGCCTCTTCTCCCTGGTCCTGGCGGCTGGCTCCCTGCCAGGTTGGCTTCAGCAGCAGGAGGTGGCGCCCCCAGGGGGCCAGAAAAGGCAAAACTCCTTCTGTTTCCATTCTTAACTCTTAAGTCTCTTCTCCACGCTCATGTCAGAGGAAATAGCCAGGAGACGAGGCCAACCCATCTGGGAGGCTTCCAGGAGGGGGCCTGGTGACAGGGACTCTGGCTAAGCTGAAATAGGGAAGTTGGGTGCCCATGCAAACTGGAGGAGATAAAAGGGCCGAAAGGGAGCTGGGACCCCAGCTGGCAAATCGTGAATTATTAGCACTAATTAACAGTGCCTCCTTAACCTCAAGCTCTGGGCCAAGCATTTTCCATGCTTGACGAAATTTAAACCTGGCAACCATCCAGTGAGGTAGGGATGACTGCGTTTGCCTTTGAGGAAACCAGGGCCCAGAGAGGTCCAATCAGTTACCAGAGCAGGCAGGGGGTGACAGAGATGGGCCCAGAGCTCCAGTCTGCACCTGCAGAACGCTAAACCCACAGCTCAGCTCACTTGCCAGAGCTTTATGGAGAAAGTTTCTCCGAGGCACAGGCTGCCGGGGTAGTGGTCCGAGCCCAAGGGGTTTTCGGGACACCCACAAAGGGAGCTTGGGGAGTGGCTGGCCCCAAGCTTGGAGCCCTGGAGAGCCTGCTTCTGTCCTTCCCGGTCTCCCCAGGCTGTGTCTCTACAGGTACTAGCCAGATGGTAGTCATGGCAACAGCTGGTGGGCCAGATGCTACAAAGGAACTCCTCTGGGTCCCCGAGGGTGAGGCGTGGAGCTTGTGATCATCAGACCCTCCTTTAACAGATAATCTCTCACGTGTCTATAGGTGTTGGGCACTGCCTGTTCAGCAGTGACAAAGACCTACTAGGTCCCCCATCGGGGCGAGTTATAGAATAATAATTATTTTTTCTGAAGTGCTTTCTGTGTCAGGCCCTGTGCTGAAACTTTCTGCGTATATTATCTTCTTGAGAAGAACGAGCTCGCACACTCCTAAGATGGGTCGCATTATCACTCTATTTTACGGCGGTGAAAACTGTGGCTCGGAGAGGGTTAGCAACTTGCCTAAGGTCACACAGCTAGTGTGATGCAACCAAGCAAGGAAGCAACTGGGTTCTAGCCCCGCTTTACGCCTCCCAGCCCCGGGCTGTTTTGCGAGCACTTTTGGTGTCAGCCTCTTGGCAAACGACTTACTACGTGACTCAGGCCCTGCCGGTGGACTGACGGCCCGGTTCAGCGGAGGGAGACGGGTGACGCGCGGTGAGCCCAATGACCCGTCCAAAGTCATTAGGCTGGGCAGGGCAGGGTGGGGCTGAGCCCCGAGGCGCCCCCGCGGGGCTCGGGATGGAGCGGGTGCACAGGGAGGCGCCGGGCGGCTCACCGATGGTGGTGATGACGGTGATGGCGAAGTAGAAGGAGCCGGCGAACT